GGGGAAAGGGAAAGCGTCGCCCGCCCGCGATCAAAGCACGGGCGCATGGCATCTGTTCAAAGCACTGTGCGGCTGCACGCCTGTCAAGGCGCATCGGTTGGGCGTTGGGTTGCGGGGCTAGACGCCTCTCGCGGCACTGTTTCTGCTCCAATAATCCGCAACACTCGGGCTCTTGTTGCTGATATCGCGCGCCCTGCTACTTGAAATTTGGGGAGCGCGGTGCGGGCCGACCCCGCCCCCGCCCCGCGCGCCCTCTCACAAGGGCGACCCGCCGCCAGCCGCCCCGTTGATCTTGATTTGCGTTGTGCGCGGGCAAGCATCTCGCCCGCGCGTCGAGCTTGCGGGACGGCGCCCCCACGCCCCCCAACTTGCGGGGCGGTTTTGCCGCCGTCTTGTTTGACCGAACGCCGCGCCCGCGCCTGCGGGGCGGCGCGTGCGACTGCGCGCGCTCTTTGCTTCCTACTCGGTCGAGCGGCGCCGCCGCGCGGCGCCGGCGCAGCGCTCTGCTGCACAGCCGGCTGGCTTGGGAGCCGCCGCCCCCAGCCGCTGCGCCGCGGGTTGGCTGCTAACAGAGCAATTTTTCGTCTTCCTGCGACCCGAGGCGCGCGCGTGCGCGCGCATGCGTGTGTGTTTGTGTGCGCGCGCGCGCCCTGCGGGCTGAACCGCCTCCTTTGCGCAGCTGCCACTTGGCGAACCGGAAGGCGGGGCGGGCGGGGATGTTGCAGCGCCTGTACCCGGCGCGAGAACCCAGTGTATGGGCGGCCGCCGTCCCCCCGCCGCCGCATTGATAACATATACTGCCGTTGCCCGCTTTTCGGTCGCTGCATTACATCGAAACAACGCCCTAACGCGCGCATGCATGCTCTCTGCTACTTTATGCGAACGGCCCCGACGAACAAGCAGGGGCGGCCTCAGCTTTCATGCCCCGGCGCCCGCCCCTTTGGCGCCGCCGCCGTAGCTTGCGCCGCGCGGCTCATGACTGGCGCGCGCGGACATGCACTCAACATTGCATCGCGGCCGCCGCGAGGGCGGCCTGCCACGGCCGCCCCTCGCTTTGCGCTGCTGCGGGCCGCAGGGGGCTTGATCTGCCCACACCCCCCCCCCCCTGGCCCAAGGTTTTTTCGCAGTTCCAAAGTTGGGTTGGCCTGTTGCGCCCATTCGACTCATGGTTTCCAGCCAAGCAAGTACATCGTAATCAGCCAAGCAAGGAAGCGTGCACGTCCCCGCCGGCCCCAGTCACCCCGCCCCCGCTTTCGGGCCGTCCGTCGTGCGCTGCGACGCGGGCCTGGCGGGTGCAGGCTGCCGACAGCCCGCCGGCCTGGCGACACGGCAGGCGGCGCAGGGGAAAGTGCGTGTAACACATAAGCATCGGGTGATGTTCACACTTCCGCACGGTGGCCTTGTTGGGCGGTTGGCCGTCTGGGTGCATTTGAGACGTAAACAACTACAGAGGTTGCCCCGGGCCCCTGAGGCCAAAGGTAAGGGCCATGCACCACTGTCAGACGTTTACCGTCGGGTGGGCCCTCACACATACAAAGGCAACCTGGCGGCGATTGGGCAGAGAAATAGTAGGCGGAACACCTCACGTATGCCCCATGCGTTGTGTCAGTTCCTGGGGCTTGACAAGCACTGCGCCTAAAATCGTGCGCGGCGCGAGTCAACAACCTGTGTCGCACCGCCCTGCATATCCAACGGCCGGCGGCGCGGAGGTTGCATGATATGGTTTGCGCATCGGAAATCGCGGCCGTCGCGGAGCAGGGGCCAGCTGCAGAAGCCGCGGTGCGCGCATCCGCTGCCGCCTCTCGTGGTCGGCACACCCACCCTGCACCCACCGCACTCACCCGAGGCGGCAGGCTTTTTCGTGCAAATGCGGTGGCGCTCAGGACTTTGTCGTTGCGAGACACCGAAGTGTTTGGATTAATCTGTCTGGATTGCTCTGTGCACGCGTCCCATATCATAGCAGGCGCTCAATATTGTGTTCAATCACGCTGGCCTAGCCTTTGTCCGTAGCCTGGGCCAAGCATGGCCGATTTTTGGACAGTGATAGCATGGTCTGGTCTGATAGGTTTTCTGCTGTACAACTGGCTGCTGCAGCAGCAGACGCAGCAGAACCAGAGACAGCAGCAGCTGCAGCGGGTGCAGGACGCCGCGGCCAGCGCAAGAGCAGCACCTGTGCAGACGGGAAGGAAGGGCAAAGGCAAGAGAGGAAAATCCGATGCACCAAAGGGCATGACGGGTGGCCTGGAGGCCCGCGGGGACTCCGCGGGCCCTTCATCCAGCGCGCAGGAGCATCTCCCTGATGAGGTGGGCGCATGAACATCTTCTCAGCAACGATCACATACGATTAGCTGCATGCCTGCGTGCATCCTGCTTTGCGGCGCGCGTGGCCACCGACGCCGGTGTGGTCACCCGCCGCTCCTCCTGCGCTCCGCACAGCACACAGCCCGCGCCCCGCTTGCATGCGCCGCGCAACGCGCCCCGGCCCTCCCTGGTGTGCCCTTGATCTCGCAGGACGGCGCCGCGGGGGCGCCGCTGCAGGACGCGCCGCTGCAGGAGGTGCTCGCCGGCTACCTAGCGAAAGCGGAGCAGCACCGCAGTGACATGGGGGACAAGCAGGCCAGCGTGGAGCACTTGGTGAGGGCTGAGTGTTGTGTTTGTGCGTATGTAAGTGTGTGTGTTTGAGAGAGTGTGTGTGTATGGGCACACGTGTGTGTGTGTGTGTGTGTGTGTGCGTGCGTGTGTGTGTGTGTGTGTGTGTGTGTGTGTGTGTGTGTGCGTGTGCGCGTGTGCGTGTGCGTGTGAGAGTGTGTGTGCGTGAGCGTGTGTGCGTGTACGCATGCCCGCGCGTGGAAGTGGGTGTGTGAGCCACTGCGGCACACGCCACGACAGCTGCGGGTGTGCGACACGCGCCCAAGCGGCATGGCCCCTGGGGCGCCGCAGCAGCTGCCGCCGCGGCAGGCGCGCCGCCCCGCAGCCGAGGCGGCCGCGAACCCCCCCCCCCTTCCAATTGGGAGGAGAACGGGGGGGGGGGAGCGGCTGCCGGCCGCCCTGCTCCTTGGCCTGACACCGTGCGCGTCGCCTCGCGGCGGCCGCGGCGCATGCACAGGTGCTGGCCCTGGCGGAGGACCCGCGTTTCGGGGAGGTGCTGGGCTGCACGACCGGCTTCCAGGTGCGGGGCATGCGGGCTGCTAGCACCACAGCGGCGGCCCCCGCGGCAGGGCGCCCACGGCCGCGGCCGTGGCCGCGCCGCGCCGTGCAGCGGCCGGCCTGGCGGGGCTCGTCCCGGCCCGGCGGGTGCGAGTTGCCGCGCCTTGCGTGGGCGCAGGCCGCGCGCCGGCGGCGTGGCGGGGGCGGCCACTGAAACCACGGCCGAGGGACAGCGCGGCGATGGGGTGCTCTGGGCCTGGATGTGCAACCGGCGGTCAACAAACCCTCCCACGGCTCCCAAGCGTGCGGCTGACGCTTCGTTTCCAAAATAACTCCGTTGACCGCCAAAGCCATGCATCATCCGTCGGCGAGCTGTGCTTTTCACATCACCAGCATCCGGCGGCGGCGGCCTTATTATGAGATTCCCATGTCATTACGTAATTCCGTGTCGACGCCCCCACAGGAGGAGGATCTGAAGGTGGCCATTAAGAAGAGCCGCGTGATCTACAACCGGGGCCAGGAGTACGACCAGCCTTTTGAGATGAGTGAGTGGCCACGTCACTGGTGTTTTTTCTGGGGGTCCAGGGAGGTGGGCAGCAGGCCGCATGCAAAGGGCAGCGGCGCACGCCCCTGTCGTTTTCAAACCTGCGGCCGCGACGGATCCCGAGCCCGGCGCCGCGAGGGGCGGCCGGGTTCGGCGCCCGGCCGGCCAGCTGTCGCTGCCGGCGATTTGGACGACCGCCCGGCTTCCCCGCACCTTCCAGGCGTTCTGGCCAAGTACAGCCGGGACCTGACAGAGATGGCGAGGGCCGGCAAGCTGGACCCGGTCATCGGCCGCGCGGATGAGATGAGGCGGCTCATAGATGTGCTCTGCCGCCGCACCAAGAACAGCGCGGTGCTGCTGGGAGAGGCGGGTGAGGCCGTTTGGTGGTTGTGATCTGGGGGCGGCGGCAATTTGGGAGGCATGAAGCTTTTGGCGGCGCGGGGGCGGCTGCGTTGCCTCTGGGTTGGGCAGGGGAATTTCATTTAAATATGCGGACGGCGGTCTGCCTCGGTGTTGTCTTGGCCAGCCGGGGCTTGTTTGGGTTGCCCCTGTTCCTCGGGATGCGACGGCGGTGGCGGCGCGCCACTCGCGCCGCGCGCCTGGGCCCAAGCTCGCCGCAGCGGCCCCAGTGTCGTGGCGCGCTCGGCTGGCCGCCGGGGGCGGCGGCGCCCGCGGCGCCGCGCCCGAGCGCGCGAGTGCGGGGGAGCGGGCGGAGCGAATGGCGGCGGCGCCGGCGCTGACGTCCACCCCCGCCGCTCTCAACATGAGCCGGCTGCGTCACCTCTCCCAACAAACCCCCGCCCTCCCCCAACCACCACAACTCCTGCACACAACCTACCCATGCACCCAACCTCTGGCAAATCTGCATCATATGCGTCACATGCTGTCCAATATGTGAATAACAACGCATCTCATGCATTTCGTAACAACTGCCAGGCGTCGGCAAGACCGCCATTGTGGAGGGGCTGGCGCAGCGCATCGCGCAGGACGACGTGCCCGAGGGGCTGCGGGGCAGCAGGGTGATCGCGCTGGAGATGGGTCTGCTAATGGCAGGTGCGCGGGGAGAACCGAGATGGGGCAGACAGGGCCGCCGCCCGCGGCTCCTGCGCGCCCCACGCGTCGCGCGCGCGGTGATCGCGGGGTTGCCGCCCAGGGGCTGCCGTTTGTATCCACACATCCATGACCTGCTTCTTCTCCCCAACGCATGGCCGCGGGCCCCGCGGCTCCGCCGGGCCCCCGTTTGCAGCATCACGCCCTCGCGCCCCCTTGCGTGCAACGCTCTCGCGTCAAGCCGCTCCCATCGCCGTCTGCGACCCATTCCACACCTCCGCCATTGAAAAGGCGCCGCGTTTCCTGGGGAGTTTGAGGAGCGGCTGAGGGGCGTGCTCAAGGAGCTGCAGCAGGAGGGGCTCAGGTGGGGGTGGGGGGTGCTGGTGCGCAGCGCCAGCAGCCCTGAGTCTCAGGAGAGAGGGGAGCAGTGGGGGTCTGTAGGGGGTTACAAGGGGAGCGGGGTGCTTCTCCACCAGCCAGGCGGCCCGCGCCTACTTGCGACCCACGGACTTTGTTTCCCGCTTCGACCCCGGCCGTCCTCTGCACGGCGCTCCGTGCACAAGTCCCTGGTCAACCCCGGTCAACCCCGGTCAAACCCCGGTCAAACGGATCTGTCGGTCATCTCTCCCCCTCCTTCCAGGGCCATCCTCTTCATTGATGACATCCATACCATCACGGGCCCCAACGCGCAGCAGGGCGGCGGCGTGAATGACGCGAGCGTGATGCTCAAGCCACTGCTCAGCAGGGGGGAGGTGCGGTGCCTCGGCTGCACCAGCCTGGACAAGTACAGGAAGTTCATCGAGAAGGACCCCGGCCTGGAGCGGCGGTTCCAGCAGGTGGGCGGGAAGTTTGGCGTGGATTTTCTATTGCGCTGCGCGGACCGTGCGGGCGGCACCAGAGCGGCCGGGCCTGGCGCGCGGCGGGCCCAACTCTCAGCAAAAATGATTTTCTGGTTCGCGCCGGCACGCGGGGGCGCCTGCGCCGCCGCGTCGCGGCCGGGCGTGCTGCGCCTGCGCCCGCGTCGTCCGGCGGCCGACGCTCGCATCTTGGCGCGCCTCCGGCGCGCGCCCCACGGGAGCCAGCTCGTGCGGCCCCGGCTGTTTGTCTCAAGGCCACCCCTGTTCTTGCAGTGCCGCTCTCTCCACTCACCGCCGCCCGCATGCCCTTGCCCCTTCCTTGCCCCTAGGTGCCTGTGGAGCCCCCAACTGTGGTGGAGACCATCTCCATCCTCCGCGGCCTGCGCCACAAGTGAGGCTGGGGCGAGGGCGCTCGGAAAACAAGGTTTCTGAGGGCGGAAGGGTGACTGCAGCAGGGTCGCTTGGCTCCCTCCTCTCATGACCCCGGCCCGCGACCCCCCCCCCTCCGCAATTTCTCCCCACAAACTTCCTGCCCTTCTTCTGAATTGCCCCACAAACTTCCCCCGTTGTTCTGAATCAAATCCAAAATTGGAATCACGAAATAAAAACTCCTGCATTTTGTCGCGCGATCTCACCCACCAACTCCCTTTGTGTCTCCTCGTCCCTCCCGGCAGGTACGAGGCGCACCACGGCGTCCGCATCACCGACGCGGCGCTCGCGGCGGCGGCGCACCTCGGGGACCGCTACCTCCCAGACCGGTGCGCCCCCACCCCCCACCCCCCAGCGTGTAGGCAAATCCACCCTCCTTTGCTATCCCTGCCGCCTGGTGAACCATACATACAAGCAAGCTCTTATGTCATGGGAAATCGACGAGCGAGGGAGCGCAGGGCTTTCCCCGCAGCGTGTGGCCGGAGCCCTGTGCCCTCCCCCTTGTCGTCCTTCAGAACCCAGCGGCTTGCCCACCCCTCACCTC